ATGATGTACTTACAGCTCTTTGATCCATAGCTCTGCCTGGAAGAAGGGAAGGCTGGAAAGGGAAAGGAAGGAGAGGTATAAGTGTTCATCGTGGGGGAAGGAGGTCATGGAGACATGGAATCATCAAGGTTGGAGGAGAACTCCGAGAGCATCAAGGCCAACTCTGGACCTGTCACTCCTGTGACTCCCAAACCCTAAGCAGATCCTCCAGGGCCACATCAGACACCTGAGACACCTCCAGGGGTGGTGACTCCACCACCTCCATGAGCAACATTCCAATGTCTACTCCAGTGATGTCTCCTCTTCCTCTCTTCTGGCTCAGCTCATGGACATTCCCTCTACTCATGGACTCATCAAGTTTGGAAGAGACCTCTAAGGTCATCAAGTCCAACCCTTGACCTGTCACTGCTGTGACCCCCAAACCCTAACCCAGATCCTCAGCCCATGGATGAGTCTCTTCAGGTCTCTCTGTAGACCCTTCCACCTCCTAAAGGGCAGGACCAACCCTTGGTCTCACTGACCCTCCTGCAATGTCCTCAACCCATGGATGGGTCTCTCCAGATCTCCCTGTAGACCTTTCCAGATCTCTCTTCCTACCCTCAGGCAGATCCACACTCCAACCCAACTTGGTGCCACCTTCAAATATCCTGAGGTTCACTCACTCCCCATGTCCAGATGATCACTCAGATGTTCTCCAGGACCTGCCCCAGCACTGAGCCCTGGGGACCATCACTACAGATGGTCCTGAGGTGTTATCTGTGGCCTTCCCCAGGTCTAGGACCTACTGAGAGACACAGCAACTCACAGCCAGGTCTCCAAACAAGAGCTTTGCTTCATCTCCCTCAAGTTCTTGGAGCTACAGCAAACTCTCTTCATGAGAAGAGTCACAAAGCCCTTGGTCACCTCCCCATGGACTGAACCTTCCAAAGTTCCTCCACCCACCATTTCCCAGGTTCTTACCTCGGTGCTGGAGTTCTGGAATCCTTTACCTTGAGAAAAATGACAGAGTCTGACCCTAAAGAGAGAGAAGAGTATGGAATATCATTTCCACAATCACCACCAGCTTCTCCAGGAGCCCAAACTAAACAGAGGGAGGGGAAAAAATGGGTTTTCCACAGTGATTTGAGCCCATGGTCAGGTTTTTGGGAGATGATCTGGGGTTGGTTGGGGTTGTTTTACCTTCAGACTGTGTGTTGGATGCTGGTGGACGTTCCTGCTGCTGTTGGGCTGTGGAGTTAGTGGACTGGAAGATACTGGAGGGGTAAGTGGGGGCAGAGTAGAGAGCTGGTTTGGGCTGGGGCTGCTCCTGGGCCCTGAGAACGCTGGTGGATGTGGCTGGTGGAACACTAGGAGCTTCAAAGAGCTTGGAGTTCTCCAAGGGAGATTCTTTCACAAGAGGTTTGCTGGAATTGGAACACCTGGACCTAAGTTGGAAGGAGGATGTGAGTTCCCAGCAAAGACAAGTGGTGCTGGGGGAGGAAGTGGAGCAGGTTGGTACTCACAGGTGGAAGGGGAAGAGGGAAGAGGGTTTAGATGTGGAGAATTGCTTCCCCGTGACCATCTGGAGGAGCTGCCTGTAGATCTCTCTCTCTTCCTCTCTCACAGTCTGCAGGGAAACAACCAGAAGGATCTAAGTCAACAGGCTGGGGGATCCCAACACACTCCAAGACTTCAACAGAGACACTGGGAACCCTGAGAGCCACAGGGAGATGAGACTTGTAGGGTGTGGACACATCTAAGAGTCTTGAGGAGTTCAACCAGGCCAACTGGAGCATCTTTCCTACAAGGACAGGCTGAGAGGGTTGGGGTTCCTCAGCCTGGAGAGGAGAAGGTTGTGTGGAGACCTTCAAGGAGCTCCAGGGAAGCAGCAGAGGGACTTGGGTAGGAGCTGCAGGGACAGGACAAGGAGGAATGGGGAGAAATGGAGAGAGGAAAAGTTAGGTGAGATATCAGGGAGAAGTTCTAACTGTGAGGGTGGTAGGACACTAGCACAGGTTGTCCAGGGAGAAGCTGTGGCTGCCCCAAGGAGGTTGTGGCTGCCCCAAGGAGGCCATGGATGCTCCAACCCTATCACTATCCATTCCAGGTGGGCCAAACCCTTGCCCAACCTGCTCTGGTGGGAGATGTCACTTCCTAGGGCAGGAGGTTGGGACTGGATGATCTCTAAGCAATTCCCTCCTGAACTTGAGGCCTGAACTCCAAACCAACTCCTGCCTGGCAGAAGGAGCAAACCCAACAGCCAGAACTCAGTTTGAGCTGCCCCAAACAAGGTCTCCTCAGACCCACCAAGCTCCCAACCAACCCCTCAGCCTGTTCCTTACCTCCTCAGCTGTGCTGATGAACCTCCTGGGTGTCTTCTTGGGGCTGAGCAGGCTGCGGCGACATGGCCCCGTCCAGGAGGGACTCTGGGCAGGTTTCATGGGGAAGGCTGAGGAATGGCAGTGGTGGTTGGATTTGCCTACAAAACTGTTGGATGTCCCACTGTAAGGAGGGAAAAGAAATCCCAAAAGCGCTTTTAGTTTCACCCCATGGTTGGTCCTTGGTTGCTTGGTTTAGTCTGTGGATTCTACTCTCCCCTAAACTCAACCAGGAATTGTGATCGATGTCTTCAGAACCATCTCAAACCTTTAGAGCTTGAGACCCACCTCAAAGCTTTAGAGCTTGGAGACCTTTAGGGCATTGAGAACCACCTCAAAGCTTTAGGCTCTGGAGCCCAAGTCCTGTAAGGAGAGGCTGAAAGAACTGGACATTCCCAGCCTGGAGAAGAAGAGGCTCAGGGGTGACTTTATCACTCTCTACAACTCCCTGACAGGAGGTTGGACCCAGGTAGGGGTTGGGATCTTCCCACAGGACAAGAGGAAACACCTCAAACGGCACCAAGGGAGGTTCAGGTTGAACACCAGGAGGAACTTCTCCATGGAAAGGGTGGTTAGATCTTGGAATGTGCTGCCCAGGGAGGTGGTGGAGTCACCACCCTTGGAGATGTTCAAGGAACAACTCAGTGCCATGGTCTGGTTGCCATGGAGGTGTTAGGTGATGCATTGGACTTGCTGATCTCAGAGAGCTTTTCCAGCCTTGTTTTCTCTGGGATTCTATGGTGTGAACTCCATCCCAAACACCCCCGAAGAGATTCCACCAGGTGGCACTGCAAGGCCTGGAAATCCCAGTATGGAGCTTCCCACCAGATCCAGCTGCTCCCACTGCCCTCAGACACCTCAAAATGGCTGAGCCTTCCCAGGAGACATCTTCAATTCCTGTTTTTATTCAGGGATAACAGCAGATTCCCTCTCCTGCCTCCCTTCTCTCCACTCCCTCCCTCAGACTCACCAAACCCCCCTGAGAAACACCAACACCAGGTGGATTTGGCACTTCTGCAGAAATCCTTCCCTGGTTTGGCCACTGCGAGGAACTTTTGGGAGTTGTAAAGGTTTGGCCTGGGGAATCCACAACCACCTTGGGGCAACCACAACCTCCCTGGGGTATCCACAATCTCCTTGGGGCATCCACACCCTCCCTGGACAACCTGTGCCAGTGTCTCACCACCCTCCCAGGGAAAACTTCTCCCTAAGATCTCCCCTAACTTTCCCTCTCTCCATTTCTCCCCATTCCTCCTCGTCCTGTCCCTGCAGCTCCTCCCCAAGTCCCTCTGCCGCTTCCCTGGAGCTGCTGCAGCTCCTTGGAG